GGGCTTAGGCCGTCACCGTGACGACGCAACGAGATCNCATACATTGAGATCTAGGCAGTGAGATCGCGAGCGGAGATCGAGTAAAAGGTAGGTGCCACGCTATTTCTCCTGTCAGCATTTGTTTTGCAACATGTGTTATAGTCTACTCTTGCCATGTACACACGCTCTCGTGCTGAGCACTAGTCCGAGTTAGCCCGGTGAACGCGTCGGGGTCCCGCTCTGCGGCAGTAGAGATAATATGGCTATGACCCTCAGCGGGGCCTGATAATACATACAAAGAAAAGCAAGGAGTGGGATGATAGGGTGTTGCAATAGATAATATGGACAAATATAAAGGACGCACACTAGGCGACCGAAAAATGGTAAATGACAATCGAGCTCAAGAATCATAAGCAACGTCCAAATGAATACAACCAGAAGAGAGACGAGATCTATAAAACAAACTCAAATGTCCGCGCGGTCACAACGGTCCGTCGACGAGACGTCTTACTGCACTCGATGCCCATGCCTGTCCTATGCCTTCTCCCCTATATGCTCTCTTCATCGTCGACACCGCCCATTTCCTCGCTCCGTTCGTCTCCCGGACCACCTCCCTCCGCCGCTTCCCACGTCTGCTCGACCGCCGTGTCTTGAGCGCCGTCTGCAGTGGGCAGCGCGGTCCCTGAGGCTGCGTCCGTGGATGCTCCGCTCGGGCGGGTCCTTATGAGCTCTCGTAAGTAATACTCCTCTGTTTGCCTTTTTTCCTCTTCAGAGTGAGAGTGGACCGAGCGCAGCAACCACTCGGCTTGTTCGGCGATGTCGAGAGTGATCGTGGTGCCGTCGATGGTGTGCTTCGTCGGTACTGACAAGATGTCTTCTCTCGTAACAGAATTCTCAGGACGGTAATGTCTCTCGAATTGCAGTTTGCCTGATTCGAGAGCCCAGGTCAGCTGCGAGCGGCGCAGCACAGAGCACAAGACCCTCTTCGCGACCTCGAATTCTGCATCCGCCGTTATGTTTGATACGAAGGCAGCGCATGTGCAGGGAATCAACGACGGGTCGCAAGCCGTCCCAAGCGAGGGTGTCCGCAACTTCGACATCGCCAAGATGGAGTATGAGATCGATGCTTTCGACATGCGCAAGTGGAGACACCGCATCTTGACCCGGACTTGATCGAAAAGCCCTAACTCTAGCGAAGAAGTAGTTATGCACAGATTGATCTGGATTGAGTGAACGGCATTCGATCTCCACCGTGCCTGGTGAGGGTCTGCCAGTGAGCCTTGCACTATTTGCATCAATTAGAAACATTTACCAGGGTTACGGCAGTACAGATTCCCAGTCGCCTTTCCGGGTCCGTGTGGTGCCAGCGCAAGCAGTCCTTGGAGGGGCGTGTCCCATGTGCTGTTGTCAAGGCCTATGCGGCGGGCAGGGTCCACGATGTCTGCGGCAAGCGCCGCTTGACTGGGACCCACCATATCCTTACAGCCGTCTACCGTACATCGGAAGTCGTGGTGGGCCGGTGGAGAACGTCGGCGAAGTCTGCGTGGGCGGACGGCCAGCGACGGGTCAAGGAAGGTAAGTTGCTCGCAAGAGCAGTAGGAGAGCGTGGGGCAATTGTGGACGAGCCGTACGAGCTCGGTCTTGCTCGTGAATACAACACCTTGAAGAACGAGAACGGAAAGTCGGACATAGGATAGAGTGACGGTGGGTATCGACTCGAATGGGGCCCAACGGCCAGCTGCTGATGCAGCATCACCTGCGTGGTTCTCGACGACACAGTCGAATGTTGTATTCTGGAGTCGGGCTGAAAGTCCATGGACATGGTGAAGCCAGGGCTTCGCTCCCGTAGCTTCTTGACGGATATATATCCGCTTGATGGACCCGTACAGACATGAAGCTGCAAATCCAGGGCTGCTGACAATGTTCTTGAGGAACCGTACGTCTTCGGCGTCGCGCAACTCGAGTTCCTGGAAGAGAATAGGTCTGATGGCTTCGGACCAGTGCTTGCATACAAGGGCAGGCCTAGCGAGCCCGCACTTCAACTTCCGACGTTCATCTAAGCCATACCCAAGATGATCTGGCGGGACACACTCGAGAATATATGTCAGTACTTCAGGTGGTAGATCGGCTCCAGTGGCGCGTGACTTTCAAGTCGATGGGGCAGACGTATATAGGCTTGCAGGATGCGAGGATGTGGGGGCGAATGAGGTGTACAAGGCTGATCGGTGGACAGCGCACCTGCGGCGCTATATCGCGGCAGCGCACAGCCATTTGCGTCGTGGATACAAGCTTTACAAGGACATGGCCTTGCAGCGCTCAGACGCTTCCACACCTGTTTCACAAAGCACCATTCCACGCACGGCGTTCTTTGTCCACGATCGGAGCCTGTAATCAAATCATCTGCGAGGAAGCAGCAGTCGTCAGCGGCTGTCGACACACATCATCTTCTGGCAGTGACATCTGGCATGAAAGCGCAAACACAGGTGCCCTCCGCCACAGGCAGATGATTTGCACCTTTGGCAGGAAACTTCTTCTCTTTCTCAGCTCTATGAGCGACATCAACGGATTCCTCAATGGCAGGTGTCATGGATCGAGTGTGGCGTACTAACAGGTCTTGCACAGCTCTGCGCCGCTTCGCCTTCCGTGTAACCACAGTCCCCGTCTGGAGCCTGAACTCTTCCAGAACGTCGCGGTAGTTTGCGCATCTGCATCAGCGCCCGGGCCCAGTAAAGAAATGAGAGCATAATTCCCGCATTGTGTCGGTACTTCTCGCGCGCATGCCCTTGCGAATTGGTTCTCCAGCTCAAATTATGAAGGTTGCTATTGGACAAAAAAAATGAGTTTGGAATTGGTGCAGACTGTACTCACAGTTTGGCGGACAAGGGTGCGCAAACGTGAACGAACGCACACGAACGTACACGAAAGCTCACAAAAGTGGGCGAACGTACATGATCGTGCACAAAAGTGGGCGAACGTACATTATCGTGCACAAAAGTAGACGAACGTACATGATCGCGCACGAAAGCGCACGAACGCACACGATCGTGCATGCCGCTGAGCTTTGGTTTTGATTACGCCCTGACTTGAGATTGGCGATGGCGCTAATGTGTGTGCGTTCGTGCATGTTCGTGCGTGTTCGTGCACGTTCGTGCGCATTCGTGCACTCAACTTATTATTCAGTTTCGTGTAAGCTGACAATTGGTTTTCATTTTCGTGATTATGCATCTCATTTGAATCTTCGAGTGCTCGAAAGTGCGCGAAGGTGCACGAAGGTGCACGAAAGTGTGCGAAGGTGCGCGAAGGTGCGCGAAGGTGCGCGAAAGTAAACGTCTAGCGAAAATGAATTTGTGATAACATGAATATGTAGTTCGTCAAATGCACACTTTCGTGCGCGAAAGTGCACGAAGGTGCACAAACGTGAGCTTTCGTGCACGTTAGCGCACGTTAGTGACCAAACGCGCATCATCGTGCACGAATACGCACGAAAGTGCACAAATACGCACGAAAGTGCACGAATACGCACACATAACCTTAGACGCACATCGAAAACAAAAATTTGCGGCCGGTGTGAAAGTGAGAATTTATTTTTGTCCAATAACACCCTTGATATCAAATACATACGCCCACATGTCACACACAGTGTCACACGCCGCATTTCCATCCAACTCCTCAATGTTAACCACTTCTTGTCGTCAGTTTGAGTCGTATGTATGCACATTAAGCCGTGGTATAAGACTCCGAGCCTTACAACCGTCTGACCTTGTCCATCTTCTCGGCAGGATAATTCAATCCAGCAGCAGCCTCTACGGAGCTCCGTCAGCCTTACGTTTTGTTACTGACGAGTGAGCTCATCTTCTCACTCGGAGGGCCCATGGCTAGTGATTTGACTGGCTCGGCTTGGCCCAGAAGCCGGTGGCTTTGGCTTGGCTTCGCCAGGCTTGGGCTTGCGAAAACCCAAGCCAATCCGCAAGCCGCCGCAAGCCATAAGCCAGTGGCTCGGCTTTGGCTTAGCCGCGGCTTGGAAACCTAATTAGGCAGGTGCTGTGGATTAACCTTGTCAACG